ATAGTAGTATGTTTTAAACAGTACATGTCTTGGAGTAACTCTTCTGGGTCGTGTGGAATTTAGTTTATAAGGGTGCTGATCTTCCAAGAATATGTCAAGTTGTTTGGTCTGTAACACAGATGCACTGCAGTTACTTTGTGAAAATTATGAATATATCTTCCTTAATGTATATTAGGTTGGCACGTCTATGGTCTTTTGCAACGTTCTGATAAGAAATATGATGAAGCCATCAAGTGTTACCGGAATGCACTCAAACTCGATAAAGATAATCTGCAAATCTTGAGAGATCTGTCTCTGTTGCAGATTCAGATGAGGGATTTAGAAGGATATAGAGTAAGTATGCTCTTTGAATTACTATTTATTGCTGTTAGAATTCTCTTGTTAATCTATTCCATTATTCTTTTATTGGTAGTAATTCTGTTGCTGCTTGGTTTTACTGTCTCGAGTGTTTTAAGCTCTTGGTTAGGAAAGCATGAAAATGAATTGCAGCAGAGCTCCACATAATGTTGAGAACAGAACTCAAAGTACAGTTATGTACACATGTACAATTTGACTTCTGGATCAACTTGTAAAACTCTAGTTCTTAACTCATTTTTCACTAAAATAATGAAAAAAAAAGATAAGACTTAAAGCTTAGCAATAGGAATACTTACGGTGCTATTGTGAAGTACTGCAAATGGTGTTTTGGGTGCATATACTGAAGGTGTTTTTTTGAGAGAAATACGCTATAATTTTTCTTTTGAGTATGTGGGAAACTTGCCCCATGATGAGAGATTTCTTGAATCCCAGTACTGATTTTATCATAAGTAAAACCTTAAAATTTGTCTAAAAACAGAGTTAGTGGTTTCAAAATGGTTGAACTGATTTGGCTGTGAAAGGGGAAAATCCTGCTCCTCTTCCATCGTCTACTTCATATGAAGTAGAGGACTGGATTGTGGGTTTCAGCATTAGTTGGTCTCTTTCATGGAGGATGTGAATTTACTAATGCAAGAAAAGATTTAGGAATAAAATTTGACTCAGGAAGGGGGTCTGAGAAGTACTGCAGCAGTATGAAGACCTTGTGCCTGGCCATGAAGAGAGTGAGACTGCTTTTTCAGTGGCAGTGAGTTCATGCTTTTTAGTGGAAACCCCTCTCTGAGCTTTCAAAGCTGTGTCTTTGGAAATAATCTACGCCCTTAAGAGGTGCTCTTGAAAATGATGCCTTTTCTGTCCCAACAAATAGATTTTTATGCTTTGTGCCATGACTCCTGTATTTATAATGTAACAGATTTATGAGACAAAAACATGCTGCTTTTCCCTATGCTGTTAGAATTTCTAAAATTGCCTAGGGCTTTTAAAAGATCTTCTAAGATATTAGCTGTACTGGTGGTAAAGCATGATAAAGATGTTGTAACTCTTTTTTTAAAAGGAGACAAGGTACCAGCTACTTCAGCTGCGCCCCACACAACGGGCTTCCTGGATTGGATATGCCATTGCATACCACTTACTAAAAGATTATGATATGGCCTTAAAACTACTTGAAGAGTTTAGGAAAACTCAACAGGTAAGATTTCCTATTCTGGAAAGAGAACACTTTCTGTATAAGAGGCAGAATCTGAGGGATTAGTTCTTTGTAATTAGGAACCAGTTAGGAATTAAGAAGAAATTTGTTATTTGCAGAGCTTTCTGCTTTGAGCAAAAAGATTCCCAGGAGCTTAGCAGCTGATGCAAGTTATACAGGAATACTTTCTCCCCTCACAATAGGCTGTCAAAGTTGGGGATATAAGGGTAGACTGATGTGGAATACCTGAGTAACCTAATGTTTGTGAAACTTGCAGCTAGAGATAACCTGTGATGATCCTGTCCCTTTACAGTATATAAAACTTCAAAAAACAATGTTTGTTGTTGGATGTTGTCGTTTGCCCTCTCTTGCCATAGCCTGGATGCCACTACATCTCTACAAAGAATGTGAAAAGAACTTTTGTTTTGTCTGTATCTGTATATTATGCACTTAAAATCAGTACTTGGTGTCAAAGTAATATGAAAGCATAGTTGAAAGTTCTTTAAGAAGATCTGGTGTTACTGAGACTTTTTGGAGTAAATAGAGTGGTACAATGCTAAAATCACTGAGTGTAACATTTTTGAGAGAGACCATTCCTTTGTTATTGGTAACTCAGAACTATATAATCTGAATTAACAGAACAGAGTGGATGTGTTGATTATTTTGTAACATGAAAAAACCCCATGTTTATACATGTGTTCAGCCTGAGAGGCATTCTGGAAGTATCATGTGCAGCTACTAAGATATTACCTTACCTATAGATTGTGAATTTTTTTTAAACAATCTCACATCCTTTCTGAGATGGCTGTATAAGGCATCTTATACAGACAGAATGGGACTAAATGTAGAAAAAGAAATTAATAATTGCTAGGAGGGACCAGTGTTTATCTTGATCATGTATAGTGGTCAACCAGAGGATATTGCAAGCCAGGGATATACAGCTTGATCTTTCAAAAGACCTGTAACTGCAGTGTTGAATAAAAACTGAAAACAGTAAGTTTAAATGAAAATTGGGTTATCTTTTATAAGTGTTTGACAGCCAAAAACTCCCGCTTCTTGAATGAGTCAGCAGAGCTGAATCTGAGTTCGATGTCTAAATGACTTTTGGAATTATGACGCATGTATAAGAGATAGAAAAACTGCAAATGAAGTGTAAGAAATTGGAGCCCTCTTAAGGACTAGAGGGCTTAACAGTGGTAGTGGCCCCCTGGGGAGAATGGAAGTGATGCTGTTAATGTTGTTGTCTTTCCTAAAAGGTTGTGTGTAAATATGCTTGTTTGAGGGCAGTCATGACGATACGCTCCTTCAGTCTAGTGACTAAGCCACATTTGAATACCATCACACACGTTAAATCAGTTGAGTCTGCTGTGCAAGTTATCACAATCTTAAATCTCACTGTAAAGCAAAGAAATAATGAGAAGATCTTGAGCTCTGATGCCATTTTTAGTAAAACTGAAAATATTTGGGAAATTTCCATAAATAGAGGAATGGTTTGTCCTTGAACAATACGAGTTGTTTAACTATTGCTTAGCATAATATCGGTCGCAGGCCAATTGTGCAAAAGCTTGTTAAGCATTATAGGACAGAAATGTACTACAAATGTTGGACAACATGAGTTTGTAGAATATTAGTCCTGTCAAGCCTCTCTTTTTTAAGATTGGTAGAGACGTTTAAGTGGTATATGGTGTTTTCTCCCCTAAAACACTAAAAAAAAGGATGACCACATTAGTTTAATTTCTCTTGCACATAGAGTTTTATGCTCTGCTATGCTAGCTCGCTGAGGAGTGCAGGCCCATGGAGGGCCCCAAAAACTGGGAGAGAGAATCCATGTGTTGGGTCCAGAAGTCAGGAGAGGCCGAGCAAACTCACCGCTCAGTTTTGCCACACTTCTGGCTCTTCCACAGTAGTCTCCAAATGTACTATTTGTGTGGTCTCTGGGTATATACCAGTCCCGCAGTTCAAATAGTTGAGTTCAGGATACTCCACTGATCTTTGGGGAAGTACGCTTCTTGCTTACTTGACTTTCCAAATTTCCCCTCTTGCCCTGTATTTTGTATTAACTCCAACTCAATAGGTGAACGTTTGTTACTGACTTGATAGAGGTTGCATGTGCCTGTGATAGAAGGGTGTTGTTCAAGGTTTAAAAGGAGAGTTGAAAGACTAAAGGGTTTCCAAGTCACTAGTAAACAGGGATCTTCAACAAACTGATGTTTTCAAGAAGTTTTATGGCAATCTGTATTAGACCTGATACTGTTTACCATTGTTGTTAATAAATAAAGAAGTAAATGTAACATGTTATCGAAAATGCTGCTACCAATTATGAAATTGGTAAATAATGGCAATGTAGGGTGATTGTACTCATTTGCTTGGATTATCCAGGCAGCTCTGTCCATTCAGATGTGAATTAACACAGCCAAAACCAAGCTGTAAAATGAAGAAAAAGATCAAGGAACTGTTATTTTAGTGACTGTAGGTGGGTATCTGAAGATGTAGTATTACAAAATAATGGAGCTAATGTAACTACAAGCTGTTGTCAAAACCAGGAGTCTGACTTTTTCCTGTGTGCTCCCACTACTTCCTTGTGCAGCACTGGTTGACTCGTGGAGGGCTGGTTCAGGAAGCCAAAGTGACTAAAATTATCACTCTTTTGAAGGATTGATTGGCTGAACTGAACTACTGTGAGGTTAGAGGGGAATAATAGAGGGAAGTGAACTGCGGGTGTTGATCCAGCCTACAGTTAGATTGATGTAGCTTATTGTAAAATTGTTCTCCAGTGCAGGCTTAGGCGTGAAAAGCACCCTTATTTCCGAGAAGAAGCAGAAATTCTCTCTATAGAGCTCTGATTACAGAGAGATCAAGGCTTACTGATGACCCTGTTTTTAAAAAGTTAGAAAATGAAAAGAACAAGATGGAAAGATAAGAGGACTAGAGAAAATGTCTAGTGAAGGGCAGAGATTGTTTGCTTACTGCAAGCAGAAAAAACCAAGGTGATTGTAGCACAGTTTAGACACTGATTTTGGGAAGAATGATAGGTAGGGAGACTGCTTAGTGGGGAAAAAATAAAGCAACTAATAGTGGCAGGAAGTTCAGCAACAAGTTCAAATGATAAATCACTTTTTATCACTGACCATTTTATTCAGATAGCATTGGAAATGGTGAATTTTCTGTCTCTTGGTGTATCCAGATCAACTGTCAGCCTGTCATCTGAAAGCTGCATCTTAGCCAGATGAATGATATTTCAGTCAAAAACAGGTTATGAGATTGAATACAGACATCACTGCAGGAAATAAAACAGCCTGTGCTGTCCAAGTTAAATGATTTAAGAGTCACTTTTGGAATTTAAATTTTGGGAACCAAGGTGTAAAACAACTATGCAATTTGTTTTACTGTTGTATGTCCCATTTCTCCTTTCTTCTTTTCCAGAGCAAAATTTTTGTTCTTAATTATTATTTTATTCCTAATTTCTGCATCAGGCCCACAATTACAGATATGGACAGAAAACCTCTGGAGTTTTGGGGGTCTGCTCTTAGGTATGTTTTGGCTGCATCTTGTCACATTCTTTCAGTGACAGTTGTGTTAGGACATCTACAGTTGTAAAGTTGGTTCTTTTTTTTGGTCCAGGAGAGGAAGAAATTTGTTCTGAAACAGCAGAATTTGAGTTAAGGAGGAGGGTGGACATCTCATGTGCGAGAATCATAACTCTTCTGGGGGGAGGGAGGAGTAAAGATATATTGTGCAGCAAGAGGAATGGCATGGAAAAACCTTTTTATAGAATGTCTTTCTAAGACAATCTGATTATTCAGATTAAGTACTGTTATTTTAAGGTGCTTGCCTTCTGATGAGTTGCACGTTTGCATTGTTATAACCTGATGAAATTTCAAGATCTCTTTTAAAATGAACTTTTTAAAAACTACTTTAAATTGGCTCTTTAAATGGAGTGATAGTAAGTGCAGTATCTTTCTAGTGGATATTTCTTGTGTGTAAGAGGGAGTTCATTTGATTTTTTTTGACATTTCATAGTTTCTTTGGTTAGTTCTGCCAACCCAGAAGAACTACGAGGTTAATTGGTGTCTGCTTCTTGTCTTATGTATATAATTTTTTAAAGGGTTGTTGGGGTAATTATGTTTTGAAGGCCTAAAACCAATTCATGATGTTCTAAAAATCTGCACGACTCGTGGAATTTAGATATGTGTATTGTATTGGAGGGGAGGATATTTTTATGGGGAAAGTGAAGGAGAAAGAACTTAAACTGCAGAGCATTGATTTAGTTCTATGATATTGCAGTAAGGATTAAGCAGGAAGACATTCTTAAATGCTTAATCCCTGTTTCACATGTCAATTTTGTGAAGCAGTTAAAAATGCTTTCCAGGTAACAACATTCTTGTTAGTGACTTCCAGGGTTTAATATGAATAAAAATTGAGTGAATTGGAGCTGCAGGTAGAGGAAATACACTTTAAGAAATGGGTAGGATTTCATGCTACCTGCTGCCTCTAGTATGTGCAAGGTCTAGTCTTCTTCCACTACCTATCATTTGCTATAATAGGTTAACAGTTAATAATACTTGCATACTATTATTTTCAGCCCCAAAACTGTATTTTGTTTAGTTATACTGTCTTTCAGAACATTTATAGCTAAAAGGAAATCTTCCTTCTAAGAATTCAGTGTTACCAAAGCTGCCTCTTGAAATACATAAAGCATGTAAACAGCATGTTAAATCTCATAAAATTGATCTGTACTTAGGGAAGGACTGGAAGTAGTGGTTTAGGACAAGCTTCTTTTAACATGAATGTTAATTTCAACCAGTTTAATGTTTTGGAGTTTTTTTATTGTTTATTAAATTAATTGGCTCTTTAAAGAATACTGAGGAAAAGCTTTACTCTGGGAACAGAAAAGTAATAGTAAACCATTTTGTGACCAATGTGACTTCAGAGTGTTGCTTGCTTAGGAAGAAACAGTATGTAGTGTCATGGGAAAGGAAAATCATTAACATTTATCAAACTCAGCTGCTTCTTATCTATTTTTATTATTAGAAGAATCGTAGACTATAACTGTCTCTCCTTATCTGATTTCTGTTTAGGCAGTGTGTTTTGTATTGTAAACTGTTGTACAGATCTGCTGGGCGTTGTCTGCAGATTTCAGCATTTGGTCTCTGACATTCTTGCAGTTTACTCATAACTGAAGTAGCTTCTGCGTATATTAGGGAAGAGCATTTAGTATGAAATAATTATTATAACTCTGGCAAGACTTTTGCCTAAATACACTTTAGGGAGTTATCCCTAGAAAGGAATACTTTTGAATGTCATCCTGTTTCAGTGGCTGATGTATCTCTGGAAGGTGGATGAACCCCTAGTTTTACTATAGCATGTAGGCAAAGTCCTAGGTATATAGCTGGCAGCAGACCTCAAAATAATTATCTGTTGCTTGAAAACTCTCCTTTATATGCTTGTGCACTGTACTTTCCAGGGGATTGAAGCATAGCACAGCGGACACTTGGTTGAAGAGCAGTAGTTTAAGTTTCCTGTCTGAAAAGCTCTAGTTGTCAAGTGATGACTGGTATTTGGGTGTTTCATTGCTCTTGGAAATAGTTTGATCCAGAATTTTTGGTATGCTGAAAACGAGTTTTGTGATATCCCAGCAATCTGCTATGGAACTTTGGTCAAAATTATTGTGGAGTACATGAGTCCTTCAGAAGGAAAAGAGGCCAGGCTGAATGAGGCTTTGAGCAACCTGGTCTAGTGGAGGGTGTCCCAGCCCATGGCAGGGGGGTTGGAACTTGATGATCTTTAAGCTCCTTTCCAAGCCAAACCATTCTATGATTCTATGATTACCAAGATCTTCTTAAATTTTATTGGATTGTATGAGAGAAGGCAAGAATTCTGGTTTTAATTAGCTCACCACAGTGAGAGAGAAAAGGGAAATACGGAAATTCTTTTAAACTGTTCCCTAACAAAGGATATTCTGAATGAATGTAATTTGACTGTGACTCCATTTGACAGTCTTACATTTTGAATGTTTGGATGGGTATGTAAATAGACCTGATGTATTCTGTAGCCTGAATCTTGTGTTCTGTAATATTGCATGCAGTTGAGGTACAGGTAAATGTTAACTAACCTATTGCTTTTCTCCCCCCAGATTCCTCCTAATAAAATAGATTATGAATATAGTGAACTGATTTTATATCAAAATCAAGTGATGAGAGAGGCAGATCTATTTCAGGAGTCTTTAGAGCATATAGAGACATATGAAAAGCAAATATGTGACAAATTAATAGTAGAAGAAATCAAAGGTAAGTCATTGTTCTTCTTTTGGACAATTTTGTTCTAAACTTTTGCTACTGGCTTCCAGATGTGATAAAGCAGTAAAAGAAAAAATATGTGAGATCTTTAATTGATTTGAAACAATTCCTTTAGGGGAAACTGGTAACACTAGACTTAAAATTTCATGCTTAAGTAACTTGCCCTACCAAAGTGGATAGTGGATGCAGGTGGTTTAACTTGGGTTGACACAGGAATAGAGGAGATTTAGGAGATTATTATTATTATTGGTGCATACTAGAGTAGCTTTTTGTAAATGAGAGCTAGTATAACACAGTTTTAATCTCATTAAGAAGAATCATGAAGAATACTGTTTGTAGTACAAACACTGATTCAACTGAGCTATCAAATTCTTGTTTCCTTCTTAAGGTTTCTAATGCACTTAACTTGTGTTGCCCTACGTAAGTGAATACTGGAGTTGACTTTTTTGATTGAAAATAGCCCACAGTTGTTTTGTGGATTTGGAGTACTGAGTTCTGAATATGTGCAATTATATAGTGTAAGAGCAGTATTCTTCCAGCTTCTCCTTGCTTGCCCAGTTATGGTGGGTTAACCCTGGCCAGCAGGTAAGCCCCACATAGCTGCCCACTCACTTCACCCCAGCTTCACTTGTCAGGACAGGAGAGAGAATAGGAAGAACAAAAGCAAGAAAACTCTTGAGTTGAGATAAAGATAGCTTAAGTGAAGGAAGAGGAAGGAGGAAAAAAACCCAAACAAACAGATCCCCAAGTGATAGAAAGGCAATCACTCACCACCTCCCACAAGCAGACTGATGCTCAGCTAGTTTCCAAGCAATGGCCACGTGCCAAAACACTCCTTCCCCTCAATTTTATTACTAAGTGTGACACTATATAGAATGAAATATCCCTCTGGCCAGTTTGGGTCAACTGTCCAGGTTGTGTCTGCTTCCAGTTTATTGCCCACCCTGGCCTGCTTGCTGGGTGGCCCAGTGAGTGTAAAAAGAAAAAGCCTTGATGCTCTACAAGTAGGTACCACTTAGCAGTAATGGGTGTGTTATTAATGTTTAGTTACAAATCCTGAAACACAGCACTGTACGGACTGCTGTGGAGAAAACAAATTTCATACAAGCTAGATGTGGTAGAACAATTTAATTAGTAGCAAATGGGTGTGATTTAGCTGCTTAAAAAACTGGTTTGTTGGTGTGAAAAAATGTGGATGTAGCTAAGTAAACAGCTCGTTAAGGAGTGACATAGTTGTGTGATGGAGTCCTGGAAGGAAGATTTCCTTGTTTCTTTGATAGTCTCAACAGCTATTTTAAATGCTCTGATACAGACATTACGATAATCTTTGTTTTCACAGGTGCTGAATGCTGCAAACTGAGTTGAGCTATATATGTGGTAGCTTCAAGTAGCAGTTGTAGTACACAGTAAATGCTTTTGGGAAAATAAAGCCTCTTTTTTCAGTATCTACATATGCTTAAGCCCAATTTTATGCATCTTGTTTTGTAAACTTTACTGCCAAGCCATCAGTGTTTTCACATGTAATTCACAGTTCTTTACTGTGTTGATTTTAGGAGAGATGTTACTGAAGCTGGGAAGACTGAAAGAAGCTGGTGAAGTATACAAAGAGTTAATTGAGCGCAATGCAGAAAACTGGTATTATTACGAAGGCTTGGAAAAGGCCCTACAGCCTAGTAAGTTAAGATACACAAGTGCATTGAAAATAAGTATGATACAGGATATACTTAAAACTCCTGTTTGATGTGTTACTGCTTTAGATTGAAAAGCTTGGCTTGGTAGAGAATTATGTACCTTCTAATCTTGAATATGATATAGTTGTGATTATCCACTTTAAAAATGATCACTGAAAAACTTGCATGTGTGAAAATAGCAACAACAAATTCCTCATTTCTTGGAGCTAAAGGTGGCATTTGCTAACATGCTTACATGAAGAACATTTCCTTGCCACACGTGAGCTTGGAAACCAAACTGCAATTCATTCCTATCTAGTAGTTGATTGTCAAGACTGCTATCATACACCACAGCATAAATTTATAATTCTGAAACTTGTTTAGGCAGTACCTGTTTCTACAGGCATATAGAGAAATACTCAAATACTTGATCAGATGGCCTTTTAAAGATAGGCCATCTGAAAAAGATTTTTTTTAAAAGCTGACCATTCTTTGGAGGAAAAGGTGATAAATGTGATAAAATCTTTGTTATTCCAGTGCTAGTTCACATTGCTACTGTTCTGTCTTTCCAGGAAAATAGCTATTTGTTTTTTTAAAACTACTATATTGCAATAACTTAAGTGTTTTGCAGTGGTAACTTTCCCAGGTGTTTACCTCTGTATGGGAATATTTTCCTTGTATTTCACTGTTCACTAATTAGTGGAAGTTTTGGAGTTACTCTGATGACATCATAAATCATAAGCCCTCAAGGATATTATTCATAGATATTATAGCTGCATTATATTTCTTGACTAGCTTTTCTAGAAGGTTTTACAGTTTGCGTTTTGAATGGTTTTCCTGTGTATCCATAGAGTTGAACATGCCGATTATTGTCTCAGAAAATAAATTACCAAGAGCTTAATTATTCTGTTTGATATAATAAACATGTTGTTGAAGCTGCGTAGTTCTTAACAGAGAACTAGTTCAGTAGTTTATTTGATATATTAAAATCCTATGTAGATTAAAACTGTACTAATTTATAAAACTAATCATGCTACTTTATTTTTTAGGTGGTCTTAGGACTATTTCCTCCCCCATGGTAAGTTCTGGAGCTCCAACTTGTGACTTCAATTAGGTCTTTCATATGCTTTAGTTCCAATCCAAACATTATTTTGGTATAACTCTTAGAACTCTACATCTCTTGGAGCCACTGGGTAACATATTCCCCCCTCTTCCCCAACATCTGAGCTCAGTGACATGATAAATTTTTTCTTATGAAAGGAAAACAGATATATTTATTAAATATATGTTGTGTCATAGTCTTGATGTGTACATTCAGTTTTAATTTAAGTTGGTTGATGAAGTCAAAAAGATTTAAGAAAAAATTATCTTAATTATGTGAAAATGGCATTTCAAAGCAACAGATTAGTTTTATTTAAGTTCTAACCACATTGGAGCTCCAAAGCATATTATGGGGGAAAGGGGCGGAGTGGGAAGAGAATATTTAACAAAAATAAAGCTACTTAAACATTAATGTATAAAGAGTTCTGGTGCTCAGTACTTACACTGGCAGTATTGTGCCTTGTTTTTGCTGCCCCCAGAGGACCCGTAATAAAGGCATGCTTGTATAGTGTGCTGTTTGTGTACTTCTGATTTAGCAATGCAATATATTTTTGAATTATTTATA